CTGCCCTAAGAGGGGGGTCCAACAGAAACCTAAGGACCTCATTTTCTAATACCCGATCTCCATAAAGGCCAAACTAGGAATAACTACGCATATTAATAGACTCAGAGAAGCTGGCATTTTAAAACCTTGCCAGTTGGCCTGGAACACTCCCCTCTTGCCGATTAAAAAGCCTGGGACTGAGGATTTTAGGCCGGTCCAAGATTTAAGGGAAGTAAATACTCGGGTGGAAACCATCCACCCCATGGTTCCAAACCCTTACACGCTTCTGAACCTGATCCCTCCTAACCGTGTTTACTATACTGTCTTGGACCTCAAGGACGCCTTCTTTTCAATTCCCTTATCACCTCTCAGCCAACCCATCTTCGCCTTCGAATGGGTTGATCTGGAAGAGGGGATTCTCAGGACAACTGACCTGGACCCGACTGCCTCAAGGATTCAAGAACTCTCCTCCATCTTCGATGAGGCCTTGAGCAAGGACCTCCAACTGTTCCGGGAAAGGTACCAACATGTCACCCTGCTACAGAATGTAGATGATTTGCTTCTAGCAGCCGCTTCTCTTCCTGAATGTGAGAAGGCCTAGAAGGCACTCCTACTAGAGCTAGAACACTTAGGATGTCGGGTCTCAGCCAAGAAAGCTCAATTATGCACCACCACCATGACCTACCTAGGTTATGAACTCAAAGAAGGAAAATGGTCACTCCCCAATAGCAGGATAGAGGTGGTCATGAAAATCCCTACTCCCATGACCAAGAGACAGGTTCAGGAATTTCTTGGGGCTGTAGGGTACTGCCGCCTCTGGATCCCTAGCTTTGCCAAGATCTCCAAGCCTCTCTATATCAGCACAGGGGGGAAAGATAATGCCTTAATCTGGACTGAGATAGAACAACAGGCCTTTGAGAAACTAAAAACAGCTCTTCATCTCTGAGACTTGAGACATTGCCAAAGGGGTCCTAACCCAATCATTAGGGCCCTGGAAGAGACCAGTTGCCTACTTATCTAAGAGATTAGACTCAGTAGCCTCTGGCTGGCCCAGCTGCCTGTGAGCCATAGCAGCCACTGCTATTTTAGTTAAAGTAGCATCCAAGCTGAACCTAGGGCAAGACCTCCAGATTATTGGGGCACACTCTGTTGAGGCTCTCCTCAGGAACCCTCCAGACCGGTGGATGTCTAATGGCTGAATCACTCAATACCAGGTACTTCTCTTAGACTCCTCCCGAATCCTGTTCCTGAAGACCTCTGCCCTCAACCCCGCCACCCTGCTGCCTGACGATGACCCTCAGGCTCCCCTTCATGATTGCTCAGTCTTGAGACTCTAACTAACCTAAGGTCTGACCTAACTGACCACCCTCTCCCAACTCCAGAGCATGCTCTCTATACAGATGGGAGCAGCTTCATCTGGGAAGGAGTCCGATATGCAGGAGCGGCGGTAGTCACACAAGACAAGGTCATCTGGGCCCAGGCACTAGGGCATGGGACTTCAGCTCAGAGGGCTGAACTAATTGCTCTCACTCAGGCTTTAAGATGGGCGAAAGGCAAGTCAGTAAACATCTACACTGACAGCCGGTATGCCTTCGCCACAGCCCATGTCCAGGGGCCCTCTACCAAGAAAGGGGATGCCTAACCTCAGTAGGGAAACATCAAAAATAAAGAAATTTTTGCCCTCCTAGAGGCCATTTGGCTACCAACAAAAGTGGCCATTATCCACTGCCAGGGCCACCAGAACTCCGACGCCCCTGAAGTTAAGGGGACCGCCTTCGCCAATCAGATAGCCAAGGAGGCTGCCCTAAGACCAGTGGGGCCACTAGAGATCCTTCCAGTCCTTCCAGGGAAAAGCCTCCCCAAAGAGCCCTCCTATACCCAAGAGGAGGAAGAACTTGGACGGAAGCTCAACTGTAACCAGGGGCCTCGAGGCTGGAGGCTTCTCTCCGACGGGAGGATCCTCTTGCCTGTGGCCCTGGCCTGAGAGCTGATCTCTCAGCTCCATCAGGGCACCCACCTTGGCAAGACTAAACTCTCCAGTCTCATAGCCCGGGACTTCTATGTCCCGGACCTCAACAGATGGACAGAATCTGAAATAAGGAGATGTCCTGCCTATGTCCAAGTCATCTCTCACCCTCGGAAAAAAACAGACCTCAGGACCCGAGAACGAGGCACAGCTCCTGGTGACCACTGGGAAATTGACTTTACTGAGGTCACCCCTGGCCAATACGGCTATAAATATCTGCTTGTTTTCATAGATACCTACTCCGGCTGGACTGAGGCTTTTCCTACCAAGACTGAAACTGCAACCATGGTAGCCTGGTTACTGTTCTCTGAGATAGTCCCCCGATTTGGCCTCCCTCTATCTCTGGGGTCCGATAATGGTCCGGCATTCATTGCTCAAACCACAAAATTGTTAGCTAAAGCTTTAGGGATTACTTGGAAATTGCATTGTGTCTACAGGCCTCAGAGTTCAGGACAGGTAGAAAGAATGAATAGGACATTAAAGGAAACTTTAACTAAGCTCCACCTTGAGACGGGCGATAACTGGGTAAGACTCTTTCCTTTTGCCCTTCTTCGTGTGCACTGTACCCGTTATCTTAAGGGTTTCACCCCATTTGAAATCATATTTGGCCGACCTCCCCCTATTCTACCCAAAATCAGGGACAAGGTCTTAGGCAACCTAGGTAATCATAACCTCCTCAGCTCTTTGCAGGCAATCCAGAGGCTGAGAGAACAGACCCGAAAGCTAATCAAGGACACCAGACCCCAACCAGGGACACCCCAGATACCACCACACAACTTCACTCCCCGTGACTGGGTCTGGGTCAAGAAACATCAGCCTGCTTCCCTCGAGCCTTGCTGGACTGGCCTTTTTCCTGTTATCCTAACTACGCCCACCGCTCTGAAGGTAGCAGGATGGAAATTTTGGATTCACCACACTCAGGTGAAAGTACATCCTGAGCAAATACCTGAACAATGGGCCTTACAGCGGACCGAGGATCCCCTGAAGATAAAGCTCTCCAGGGTTTCCTCCTAGTCTCTTTCCTGACTCTGACTGCCAGTAAAGCACCTACCCAATTTAGATGCACTCAAGGGTGGCCACTGCTATGAAGGTACGGGTCCCCGTCTGACCCTCGGAGTCCTACAAGCACAGGGGACATGCTTCATCATCAGCAACTACGACCTAAGCTCTTCCCCTTATGCGGACTCATGTGGAGACGCTACCACCCTAACCCCATTAAGCCCCTCATCACAAGAGACTTGGGTCCTAACTTGGGTCGTAAACCAAGGGACTTGGTTTGCTTGTGCCTCAGGACTGACTCCCTGTGTCTTTCCCATTGGAACCAAAGACTTATGTATTCTTGCTAACATTATTCCACAGGTTTATTTCTTCTCTGTTTAGCCTAAGGAGAAACCTGTTGCTTTTATGCTAACCAATCTGGTATTATTAGAGAAAGCATAAAATTAGTTAGACAGTGACTAGATGAACGAGAACAGGCTCTATCCACCTCTAAGAATTGGTATGAGAACCTCTTTAATTGGCCCCCATGGTTCACTACTCTTATCACTGGCCTTGCGACCCCCTTAATCCTCCTCCTATTAATATTAACTTGTGGCCCAATCCTAATTAATCGAGAGAAAAAGTACAGGCTGTTAAGCTCATGGTTCTTAGCACTCCCTTTCAGAGGCTAGCTACAATGGAAGAAATTGCAGAAACTTTAGAATCAAAGATTTGATTTAACCCTAAGACCAGTGGGGAATGTAAAGGACAAATACATGACCTTGCCCCCTGGATTTTAAGGGAATGGCAAGAACTATCTGCTAATAGATGACCACTGCATTGTATAGATAACCATTGCTTTGTGTACACCGAAACTGATTGTTCCCTCAGGCATAAGACCTAACTGCAAATATCTGCTTCTGTAGTGCTTGCTTGCTGGCATACCCTAATCCAAATTCCTTAACAGGGGCTAAGACAACTATATGAGCAACCCACCCCCTGAGCTCGGGGCTGCTCTCTCCTCTGCGTAGGATGGGACAGTGGCCGCGTGGCCAATAAAGCTCTCTTAATTTGAACCCAGTTTGGAGTCTGGTCTGTCTCGTTGGTCTACAACAGCAGAAGTTCTTGGCCAGCACAGGGAACAAACAGGGAAGTCTGGAGTCCTAAAGATAAGTATCTGCCTCTCTCCGAGGAGCTAGTCCCAGTTCTGCCTCAAGGCAGCAAGCAAGCTTCCTTGATGAGAGTGTTCTGTTGTGGAAGACCTCTCACCAGAAGCAGGTCTGTGTCCCCTATGGGCAGGCACTGTCCCTCCCTATCCATATGCCTTAGACAAGCTGCCCTTTGGGATTCAGGTTGTGCATCTATGAAATGGGAATAAGAGGGCCTACCTTGCCAGGCCATATGAGATTCCAAATGAGACAGTCAATTCCTCACCCACCCCACCCTCCCACCCTGAGCCACCATCTCTGAGGGCAGGGCTGAAACAAGCCCTTCTCTGGCCCAGGGACTTAGACATCGTTTGCTGGGTAAACAGTTGGTCACATCCTCATACCACCCTAGATCCCACACCACTTGGCCCACTGATTTTCCCACCCTCTGCTCCCTTTTTCATCCTGCCCTTCCCTGAGGAGGCTGAGCAAGCTGGGACAGAATGGCCCTCACCACACACAGCACGGGCCTCTATTTCACTGGGTTTTAGGTTCCCTGTCTGCACAATGGCTATGCTGATCCAGAGAATCTTGCAAACCATCCAAGGGCCAGTGGCTATTGGTGGGAAGAGGTCATTTTAGATTCTACCCCAATCTTGTTTTTTTTAATCCTCACCCAAGGACATTCATTGATTTTTAGAGAGAAGGAGAAAGAAACATCAATGTGAGATAGCAACATCAATCAGTTGCCTCCTGCACACGCCCTGACCAAGAATGGGGTTCAAACCCGAAACCCAGGTATGTGCCCTGGCTGGGTTTCGAACCCACATCCCTTCAGTGTACAGAATGACACACTTACCAACTGAGCCACACTGGCCACGGTCTGTCCCAATCTTCATGGTTCATTCCTGCCCAGGACACTGCCCACAGTGCACCCTGCCCAGCTCTTCTTCCAGCCCAGAATCCTACATGGCCCTGAATGGAGGCCAGAGAAGAAGGGGGTGGACGGTGGGGGTGAGCAAGAGCCACCTCTACCATAATAACTAATAACCAGCTGACAGCTTGAATTATATATTTTCCAGTTCCTTGCCTATTGGTCAGGGAGGATGTGCAAATGTAAATGTGTATGTGCTCCTACTCCTCAGGGTCTGAGACTCGGGTGTGTGTGCTGACTCAGTCAGGTCAGCAGAGGGATGGCATGCTGACAGCTCTGCTCCTCCCAACAGAAGCCCCAGCTGCTCTAGCTCTTGACCAAGGGGTCCAAGTATGAGGTTGCAGCTTCCTGGCTAGGGCTGTAGGGAGTAGGGGAAGGATGGACCAGGTATGGTCAGAATGGAGGGAGTGTGTACTAAAAGGGGCCACCTGCTAACCTGACAAGCTCAGGGAAGGCCTGAGTGACAACTTGCAAACTCAAAGACCTAAAGTAACCACAATGGATGGTCTGAAATTTGTCCTAGGTAGTCATGTCCTAGGCTAGCAACTTCCCTGACAAAAGTCAGTTTTCAACTTAATGGAGCCTATTGCCTTTTCTTTTTGCATCTAAGGTAACACACCTTTAGAATGTGGGATAACTTCCTTTTTTCCAGACTCCTCAGGGCACAACCTATGCACCAGGGGGAAACCACAAATCCCCTCATCGTTATTATTATCATGTTGATTGTTGACTGTTAACTGTCCTGTGCCCACGTATGTAAAAGAAGAATGTGTCTGTCATTTTACTTTTTATCCAATCCCAGAGATTCCCCCCCTTGCTTTCTCCCACCTCCCTTGTCTGTCACCAGTGGATTTCATGTAACCCACTTACATCTTCTCTTTTGATTGTAATATATACATTAAGGTGCAAAACTGCCATTCTTCAGAGTACTATCTCAATCTGTTGAGGTTGAGATTTTGCTTCCTGGCATCTGTCAAAAGTTTGGCTCAAATAACTTCACAAAATTCTTCACAGGCACAGGTTTGAATGTTTCTTACATTGACATTACAATGGGGCTAGCTAGGAACCTTGAAGACAAGGAGGCAGGAAATTCCTTTCCACAGGTTGTCCAGGAGGAGGCAGGTTGTCCAGGAGCCTATAATGCCACAAGAACTCCAGTCTGAGAATGGAGATCCAGCCCAGCTCGGGGACTCATCTGAGGAGACCATGACCCTGCCTCACCTCCACCTCTCAAAGCCTAACACTCTCTACACCCTTTTCAAGGCCTTCCCTGACCCTCCTTCATCCCTCTCACAGTCAGGCCTCAAGGTCACCCCTCACCGATGTCCCCTGAATGCCACACTACAGACTCTCCACTTCATAACTAGCTGGTCCAGCCACCCTCTCCCTGGCCTTAAAAATCCCTTTAGCCCCTTCTAAATAGCACAAGTATGTGCAAACACATACACAGAAGTGACACCAATATTTCAATAGCCAACGCCACACGGGACACATACACCCTATACTTGAAAAATGATGGGAGTGAGAAGGCAAGCCAGGTGCAGCCCTCAGGCAGTGCAGAGACCCTGTCCCTGGCTTTGTAATCCCCTCACATCTGCCAACCGCCTAAACTACAGCAGAACTAGAAGGCCCCCAAGTACCCGGAAGCTATCATGTATAAAAGGTGGCTGGAACCCGGGTTTGGGGCTCAGCCTTTGGAGGTGACTCCACTGGGCCAGCACCAGTGCACATTAAACAGTCATTTTCTAATCCTCTGAGTTCGTGCAGCCTCTCTTCCCGCTGACCGAATTTCTGCCACAACAGGATAAGAGGCACTCGGTGGCCTGTGCTCAAGGAAATCAAGTGCCTGGTGGAGGAGTAGAGGCTGTGGACCTTCTGCTCATCCCTCACCCCTGCTTCTCCTTCTCCCTCCCTCTAGCCACCTCCCCACCCCAGTCAGCCTTGTCAGTGTTGACATTAATGGGCTGACATGAATAAGCCGGAGCTTCTCCATTTGACTGCCAGACTGGGCCTCAGCTGTGAAAGAATTGCTAATTAAAGCCACAATAAGGAAATATCAATGATGGACATCAATATTATTGCCTTCTGTGGTTCCCTGACTGTTGATTTGGGGCCATCTCTCTAGGACAATGCTGAGTGACTACAGAGGAGAAAAGCCCCACTTGGAGAAAGGCGGGCCTCCAGATGGATTCATTCTTGCAACTGGGCCTGTTCCCTCAGGGCAATGTCCCCTCTTCCTCCACCCAGGGTCCAGGGCTGAGGCTGAGCACAAGGGATCCATGATCCGGGATGGGGAACTGGTGATCCTGTGGAAAGCCCTGGCTCATCAAGTGACTGCAAGCTTATCTCTGCTTCTCTGGACCTCAGTTCCCTCAACTGCCAAATAGGCACAATCATTCCAGTCCTGCCTATCTTGCACAATGTGGAGGAGTGAATGAAATGTGAAAGCAAACTTTAGGAGGTTGACCTAATTGCAAAATACAGGGGCTTTGTGGGCTGGAGGAAACAGGTGGGGGCAAATGAGGGACTGAGCAGCACTGACAAAGGGATGGACATGTCCCAGCTCAATCAACTCTCAGAAGCAAATACCCTCCCCACCCTCCTGGCCCCCACCAAGCACTCAAAACTTGGTGGGAATCGAGCCCTGGCCGGTTTGGCTCAGCGGTTAGAGTGTCGGCCTGCGGTCCTGAGAGACCGGGGTTCGGTTCCCGCTAAGGGCGCGTACCTCCGTTGCAGTTTGTCCCTGGCCCTGGTCGGTTGTGCGGGTGGCAGCTACTCGATGTGTTCCTTTCGCATTGATGTTTCTCTCTCTCTCTCTCCCTCCCACTCTACCTGAACAAAAAATGGAAAAATGTCCTTGGGTGAGGATAAAAAAAAAAAAAAACTTGGTGGGAATCGAACACTAAAGTCAGAGAGAAGAAAGGCAAAGCTTAACACAAACGTGTAGCTGACACCTGGTGTCTCTGAGACTTGGAGCCTGTGAGAACTCAAGGCCTTGAACCCACACCCAAAACCCTGCAGACCATGCCAGTCACAGGTGGAACTCACACAGAGGGTGGCCCTTCAGCCACTGAGAGGGTCTCAGAGGCAACTCCCAGAAACAGAAAAACAGCACAGTGGAGAAGCACCATCAGAGACAGCCCAGACAGCCTTGTGAGCGGTACTGTGCCTGCCGGGTAAATCCCAGTCACAGGCACATATAACACATATACTCAGATTACATACACAGCCAAGTTCATAAATAAATGTGTATAGGCTGGAAACAGGCCAGCACACCTGCATGCACACATACACGCACACACGCAGCATCTTAGGCCAAAAGCCAAGCAAGAACCATGGAAACTTCTCCCTGTTGAGAAGTAACTAAAAAGCCCCATATGGCCTCCCAGGCACATGTGGCCTCTGAAACTATAGTTAAGACAAGTAGCAGCAACGAGGAGGCTAGGAAGCAGAGGCCAACAGTGCCTGAATATTTCACAGATGATTTTGCTTCACAGAAAATTCATCTTCGCCTGTGTGCATGTTAGGGTGTAATTACCCATTAGGTTGTGGAGCAGAAAGCAGGAGGCAACTCCAGGTCTGGGCCCTCACTCTGCCTCTGCCACAGGCCTAGTCCAACCTGGTGGGGCCCATCTACCGCTCACCTGTGCTGGAAAATTGGGTGCCATTTTGGGACACAGAGTGTCCTGACTCAGAGTCACCTCTGTCCTAGATCCTTGGACTCTGTCCCCAGCCACTCACCTCAGGTTCTCTCTTCAGGGGCTTAAGACCACTGGCTGTCTCACTCCTTCAAATACCCCCTCTCCTCTCCAAACCATCAAGCTGTTTACGGTTCCCTGAGGAAACAACAGAGGAGAACAAGATAGAAAAGAGAAGGCAAGAAGGGACAGAGGCCATCCTGGCTGGTCCCTGGAGTCCCCTCCCCTCACAGAGCTTGCCCACCAGAGTGGGGAAAGAGGAGGGGATTCACACCTCCCTCTTTTGCCTCCCACCAGGAGCACTCTCCCTCACTCCATTTGCCCTAGAAAATGTCCACTGGGCATAAGCTAAGCTCAGGTGGTATCTCCTTCAGGAGGCCCTCCAGAACCACCTCCCTGGGTCAGGAGCCTATTCTGGCTCCTGCAGCCCCTTATGTTTCCCTCCATCACTATTCTGTAATCAAGGGCTGAAAACATAGATGCCTGTAGGGGCCACAGAGGAAATGACAGTGAGCGAATGGGTGCAGGTAATGTAATTGAAGTGGGCAGGACTTGAGAAGTGGAGAGTATATGCCCTAAGGTGTTAACACCACCTCACGTCACGTTATGGCCCAGAGATTCCACTCCTGGGATAAGCCCAACCCACAAAGACTAATACACAAATATTCATAGCGGTATTGTTCATAATTGCCAAAAAGTATAAACAATCCACATGTTTATGAATGAATGTATAAACAAAGTGTGTTATATCAATAAAATGCAATATTCAACAAAGAATGAAATACTGACTCATACTACAACATGGATAAATGTCAAATATATTATGCTAAAGTAAAGAAGCCAGACATAAAGGCCACATATTATATGATTCCATTTACATAAAAGAAAGGCAAATCCATGGAGACAGGAAGATTAGTGATTGCCAGGGGCTGAGGGACGGAGAGCGGGGAGTGACTGGAAATGGATACAGGGTTTCCTTTTTATGGTAATATCGTTCTCTGAAATTAGTGATGTTGGTTGTACAATCTTGTAAATATACTAAAAAAACCGAACAGTACACTTTAAAATGGTGAGTTTTATAGTATGTAAATTATATCTCAATTTACAAAAAAAAAAAAAAGTTTTAAATGAAAACACATTCACAAGCTATATCCCTGGTCAGGGCCTCCAACTTCTAGTTCATACATCTGTCTACCCACAAGAATGGAGCCTGAGGACCCTCCATGGCCCCCAGAGCTGGCACCCCAAGGTCAAGTACCTGAGAGCCATATTACTGCAGCATATTAGCCCAGGCCACATGTTGTGCTCTCCAAAACCTCCCTCAGATGGCTCTGGTCCAGAGTCACAGCCATGTCTCAGGCAAGGCCACTGAGACACAGTTTCAAGGTCACCTGTCCTAAGGTTCTAAGGTCACATGGCAAGCTGGAGGCAGAACTGAGGAGAGAGGCCAGGCTTCCTGACTTGGTGGCAGAGGCAGATGGATACAAAGGTACAGGCAGCTCTGCCACTGCTTCCTGCCTCAAGGCCCTTCAGATCCCTGGCAGGCCTCAGAATCAAGTCCACCTGCTGGATCTAGCCTTAGTCCCCTTTGGGCCCTGAAGGCAGCTCATCCATGGCAGCAAGGCCCCTGCCCCTCACTTCTTCAGGAACACACTTTCAGGGAGCCATTGTGGTTTCCCACAATCCCCAGACATGGCCAACACCATAACACTCAGTTTCTCAGAGGCCCAGACAGTTTGACTGGATCCTCTGGGTAGGCCAGGGGCAGAGGCTGGTCAAAGCCTCACAGATGCAGAAAGACTTTTAGGTAGAATGACCAACCATCCTGGAACTGAGAGTTGCTGAAACTTGGACAGTCCTGGGCAAGGTAGGACAGTTAGCCACCCTGCCTGGGAGGATGCCCTAGTGGGTGAGCCACGGGAGGGTGCAGGGGAAGCAAGCTTCTCTCCGGAGAGGCCTTCTGTCCCTTCCTCTCATGCTTACCTTCTCTTTGTCTCTGCCATCCTCCCTCCCCCAGCTTTCAATCAGCAGAAAAGAATCCTCTCTTCCAGCTTCTCCTTCAGGTCTCTCAAGGAAAGAAGGTTTCTGGAACCAGCCCTTGCGTCTGTTGAGATGCCCTGAGGGTCATCAGGCAGAGGGAGCAGATGGCAAGGTAAGGCCCATTACTCCTTTAGCCATGGCCTCCCTGCAGACTGTCAGCTCCCGGAGGGCAGGAAACTAGTTTCTGTTTGAGTCTCAGTTGTGCCTCTGGTCTAGAAGGCTAGCTGCCCAGTAAATATTTGCTGAATGAATAATTGAATCCATTTAGGCTTCCTAATGATAGGTCTGAACTGAAGAAAAAAAGAGTTTGGAAACTACTGGCCTCAGGAATAAATTCTAAAGTCTTCAGCTGGCCATGGAGTTTTCTTCTGTATGACCCCTCACACCTCCCAGCCTTCTCTCAACTCACTGACAGGCTCCACCCCCAGCACCCCCACAGACCCAGGCCTTTGCTTATGTAGGTCTCCTTCCTGAAGCACTCTTAGCCTGCTCCTGGGCACCAGCTCAGTTCCTCCCCTCCCTGAAGTCTCACTTGGTCACTATCTGCCCCCGTCCTCAGGCTCCCTCCCTAGTTGAGCCCTGGCAGTGCGTTTGGGAGGATGCGCTGGTGAGAATAAGGGAAGAGCTAAAGGTTGAGTCTGACTGCAGGTCACCCAGGTCCTGGGCCACCCTCAAGCTGAAAGGGTGACTGGGTGACTCAGGGTCTGACTGCCAGCAGCTGGGTACAAGGCCAGGTTTGGTTGACAGAGGAGGCGAGGGGAAGGGAGAGAGAAGAGAAAGGAAAGGATAGGTAACAGGAGGGAAAGGGGAAATGAGGTAGGAGCTGCTCTTGGCTCACGGATCCCAGGAAGACTAAGTCAGAGTCCAACACAGTGATAAAACAATTGGGCAGCAGTTCACCTTTTTAGACACATGATATCCCCAAAGACACAGATTAGTCGTCCTGTGCAGACTGAAGGGAGAAGGAAGCCCCTCTGGAAGAAAAACGTCAGCTTTAGACAAGCAGTCACATCTCCTTTCCACTCCCCTGCCCTCATGCACCAGTGGGGTAGGAAGCAGCCAGATACTATCTGGGCCTCTTGCTATGTCTTCCTTCAGCCTAAGAAGTTCAGCCACCCACCCCGGTGACCTCTAGTGTTAGACCCTCCTAACCCTACTTACAGACTGAGCCCTGACCCTTGTCTTATAGTGAGATCTGATCCTATTCATTCATTGAACCTTGAGCCTTGTCACACATTGAGCCCCAACCCTGATCAACACACTGAGCCCCAACCCTGCTCACACACTGAGCTCTGACCCTGCTCATACAATGAGCCCTGACCCTGACAGGGTACAGTAGCCCTCTAAGAACTAAAGGAAGTTCCAGGGATGCCTCAGCCTCTCCTCCTATGACTCCTCAGAGCTGGTGACAGATCCAGTCCATGGGTGCCAGAGACAGGTCCCAGCACTGAGTGACTGCTGGCAGCTGACCCAAGGTAGCTCATAGGTGGCTGAGTTCTGATTCTTCCCCAAGACCAAGACAGAATGTGATAAGCCCCCTCTGGTCTCAGGACACAGCAGTGTCTATGAGCCCAGCCACTGGTTTCCACAAAGAAGCTGCCACTACCTCCCATTCCCCAGCCAGTGCTTACTCCCTCCACATCCTCTCTGCCTCCCACAGGGATCCATCTCTACCTCCCTTGATTTTTCAAGTGTCCCAAAAAAGCTTTGAATTTCTGGAAACCTGCCCCCTCCCCTTCACATCACACTGGTCCCCATTCAGTGTCCTCAGCTGGCTGTCAACTAATCCCTACAGAGGTGTTACTAATAATTCAGATGTTAACTATAAACTTAAAGTGTGATTCCCCACCAGGAACATATTGGTTTTAACAGGTTGCTCTTGGAAATGGGAAAACTTTCAAGACCCATTCAAATGGCAGAGTGGGGTTTAGTATTTTGTGCCTGGAGCCTTTCTAGCCTTCCTGAAACCCCCCTTCCCCTCATCCTTTACTAGGGTCCACAGAATGACCCCCAGAGAGCTGCATTCCAGTTTCAGCTCCACCTATCTCTCTTTACCTCAGTTTCTTTTTCTTTTCTTTTCTTTTCTAATGTTTTTATTTATTTTTTTAGAGAGAGAGGAAAGGAGAGATAAAAACATTAATGTGAGAGGGATACATCCTTTGGCTGCCTCCTGCACACCCACTACTGGGGATCAAGCCCGCAACCTGGGAATATGTCCTGACCAGAAATCGAACCAGGACCTCCCAGTCCATGGGACGATGCTCAATCCACTGAGCCACACCAACCAGGCTGAACCTCACTTTCTTCATCTGCAAATGGGTATAGAGAATACCAACCTTGCAGAATTGTGATAAGGCCCTCCATACTCAAAAGCTCCCACGGTCCCTAACCTCCCTTTGCCTATCCTCATCAAAGGTAACTGTGTCAGTTTCCCCCACCTCCCACCTCCTCCCACTCTACTCCCAATCAATCACCCAGCCTGTGGGTTCTCTCCACTTCCCAAATGTCTCCCCAGGCAAAGATCAATAGAATCAATCACCAAGGCCTGGACAGATATGAGACTGTGGGGACACTGAACAGATGATGGTAATGGAACATCAGAGAAGCAGGGAAAGAATCTCAATAAACAGTGTCACCAGGCCAGTGTTGTTCAGTGGTTGAGTGTTGACCCATGCACTAAGAGGTCGCCAGTTCAATTCTCAGTTGGGGCACATGCCCAGGTTGTGGGCCAAATTCCTAGTGGGAACATGCAGGAGATGACCAATTGATGTTCTCTCTCATTGATGTTTCTATCTCTCTCTCCCTCTCCCTTCCTCTCTCTGTAAAATCAATAAAGAAAAAAAAATTTTTTTTTATCCTCACCCAAGGACATTTTTTCCATTTTTTGTTCAGACAGAGAGGGAGGGAGAGAGAGGAAGAGAGAGGAAGAGAGAGAGAGAGAGAGAAACATCGACGTGAAAGGGACACATCGAGTGGTTGCCACCCACACGACCCAACCAGGGCCGGGGACAAACTGCAACCAAGGTACATGCCCTTAGCAGGAGCCGAACCCAGGTCTCTCTGGACTGCAGGCCAACGCTCTAACTACTGAACCAAACTGGCCAGGGCAAAAAAAAATTTTTAATAAATAAATAAACAGTGTCAAAACAGCTGGTCATTTGGGGAAAAAACACTTAGATCCCTACCTCAAACCACACACATAACAACATTCTGGATGAACAAAGATTTAAAGATTTTTAAATATCATAAATAACTAGAAAACAATGTAAGACAACATTTTCAAAACTTTGTAGTAGAAAAGAATGACAGACTTGATCATAGGACAATTTTAAACTTTTAAGGGGTTAAAAAAAAAAGGCATAAAACTAAATGACAAAAAAACAACGAACCATAAAACTTTGAAAAAAAATATTTGCAACATAATACAGATAAAGGGGTAAATCCCTTACCCTCTTATAAATCAATTTGCTCTTGCAAGTAAGATGCATTTCACAAAACACATCACTCCCCATCACTGAAACCAAGGTCACCTGTGACCTCCCCAGGACTAATGCATGATCAATGCTCAAGCTACATCTTACTTGACCTCACACTTGAAACATATTTTGCCTTTGGCTTCTAGGACACCACTTGCTTGGTTCTCCTCCACCTTGCTGGCTGCTCCTACTCAGCCACCTTTTTGATTCCACCTCAGTTCCCCAACTTTTAGCTGAAGGAGGCCCCAGGGCTAGGTCTTTGGTTCTTCTTTTTTTCCCCCATGTATTCTTACTACCTTGATGCTCATCCAATCTTATGGTTTTAAATATTATCTTTATACTAATGACCCCAAATTTATATCTCTAGCCCAGACCTGTCCCCTAAACTCCAGCCTCATTTCTCCAACTGTCAACTCCACATTTGTATATGGATGTCTACTGGCACCTCAGCTTCACAGTCCACAGCCAGGGCCTGCTCATCAGTGTGCCACCTGGGCAGTCACACAGGGCCTCGTAGTCAGGGGGCCCCAGGTTTGGTTTAATGCTCCACTGTCACCACAGGAAAACTTTTTTTTTTTAATCCTCACCCAAGTACATGCTTTTATTAATTTTTAGAGACAGAAGAAAGAAGAGAGAGAGAGAGACATCAATCGGCTGCCTCCCATATGCAACCTGACTGGGAATCGAACCCACAGCCTTTTGGTGTATAGGATGATGCTCCAACCAACCAAGCCACTCAGCCAGGGCACCACCTGGAAATTTTTAATGATTTTTTTAAACAGAGGGCCACCCTTTTTCATTTTGCTCTGAGCTCTACACATTAAGTAGCCAGTCCTGTCCACAGTGGAGCTCCCCGACTCCAAACCCATTACTCCATAGTTTCTGCTCTGTCTCTGTTGTTAGCAGACCCACCCTTCTAGCTACTGGGACCAAAATCATTGGAATCATTGTTATGAAATAAATGGTTGTGCCTTCAAAATTCATATGTTGAAGTCTTCACAGTAATATGATGGCATTTGGAGGTGAAGCCTTTGAAAGGCAATTAGAGCCCTGGCCAGTGTGGCTCAGCGGTTAGAGCATCGGCCTGCAGTCCAGAGAGACCCGGGTTCAGTTCCCACTAAGGGCGTGTACCTCAGTTGCAGTTTGTCCCTGGCCCTAGTTGGTTGTGCGGGTGGCAGCCACTGGATGTGTCCCTTTCACATCGATGTTTCTTTTTCTCTCTTCCTCTCTCTCCCTCCCACTCTACCTGAACAAAAAATGTCCTCAGGTGAGAGGCAATTAGAGTTAGATGAGATCATGAGGGTGGGGTCCTCATGATGGGATGAGTGTCCTTAAAAGAAGGAGAGATACCAGAGCTCTTTCCACCTGCACACAAAGAAGAGATCTTGTGAGCACAAGCAAGCCAAGCAGAGGGTTATTACCAAAAACTGAGTCCACCAGCATCCTGATCTTGGACTTACCAGTCTCCACAAGTGTGAGAAATAAAAGTGTATTGTTTAAGCCAACTAGCCTATGGTATTTGGTTCTGGCAGTCCAAGATGAGTAAGACAGTGACCTTTGGCTCCCTCTCTCACACATAACACCTCATCTAATCTGTCAGCTAATCCTATTGGCTCCATGAACATGCACCTAGAATCCATCCTCATCTCCCCACCTCCATTAAGACCCCCATAGACCAAGCCCCATCATTTCTTCCCTGGATCACTGCAACAGCCTACCAACTGATTTTCCTTCTTCCACCCTGGCCTCCTCCACAGCAGCCAGAATAATCTGGTTAAAATGAAATTCTGATCATGTCATGTCACTAATCAGAAACTTCCATGGCTCCCTGCATCATCCTAAGGAAAAGGGTGAACCACAATGCCCTGCATACCTGACTCTTGATCCTCCCTGACTATACCTACCATTCTTTCCTCACTCACCCTGTTTTAGCCACACTGGCCTCCTCACTGATTCCTGAACAGATCAGGCCTACTCCTGACTCAGGGTTTTGGACATCCACATTACTCATTCTCTCACTTCCTACAGGTCTTCATTTCAATGCCACCTCCCAGTAAGACCTGGCTGACTACCATATCCAAGTCGCCCAACACTTACAATCTCTCTCCTGCTTTATTTTTTTTTCTCCTTAGTACTTAACACTCATACGCACACTATATTTCACTTATCTGTTTTTCCTTGGTGGTCTCTCCTCCACTACAGTATAAGTTCCATGGAGGAGGTATTTTGTGTCAGTTTTGTTTGCTGTTAGGCCCCTAACCAAAACAGTGCCCAACATATAGTAGGTGTTCAATAAACACCTACTGAATGAATGGACAGATGAATAGGAAAATAAGCATGACATGAACTGGCGAAATTGACAAATGAAGAAAGTAAAATGGCCAAACAAGCACACACAAATATGCTCAAGTTCATTAGTAGTCCAAGAAATGGAAAATAAAATCAGTTTTACCTATCAGATTGGCAGAGATTTAAGTGGCTGATAATTCTCATGGTTG